GGTCAACTCCATGCCAACGGCGATATCTACTGCTTTCTTTAGTGTTAAATCTGCTACTCCTAATAATTTTCTTCGAATCGTTTGTGAGGTAATGCCACACACCAGTCTATCCCTCAATGCTTCATAGCGATATACCCCAAACTCACAAGTTTCTGCTAATTTTTGCAACTTAGCTAAAAATTCACGAACTGACTGACCTTCCACTTGATTGTACTTGTGAAATTGTACCTTTTGGCGATGATAATTGGTTTCGGCGTCAAATGTCCGCCCATAACTTCTACAATTTCCGTGAATGAGAACTCCGTCGGTTTAGTCGGCGTAGTTAAACTCTTTAACAAAGGATACATCTTCCCACCAATCAAGGTAAGTAAACTGGCTGCCTTTTTCTCGTTGGGAACATTGTTCACCACAAAGAACATCTCCAAACGCACTATGTATGTCGACCACTCTTCCACTTTCGGGTCAAAACTCTCCATTCGTCCGAAATAACCAGCAACTGAAGCACTGAATGAAGCTGCACTCACTTCTTCGACTTCGACCTCAGTGGTATTATCTTCCCCGGGCATGTTACTTAATCCCATCCTTGTCGCCAAAATTTATAGTGTTCGGAGAGACGAGAATAGAGTCAATTGCAATATTAACTCAACTAGTTTAATGGCGGATGTACTAACAACAACAACGCACGAGGTGAGTCACGTGCTTAGCGTACGTCATTACAGAGCATTTGCCTTCATCAGAGCAACTAAAGAAATTGTGTTTTTCTTAATTTATTCTTTTGCAAAAAAATTAAAAATAAAGAATTAATGACTTATCTTACTACAAAAGGTGGAAAAAATTCCTCTTTTTTTGTTTAACTGTGTATAAACTATGGGAAACTTTTTTTTTTCTTATCAGGAGCTGGTGTTTGCATGTTTTCTCTCGCCTGTGGTTTGGCACTGGGGTTTCTAGACAAAAGAGCAGCTCGCATTCTGAAGAAAGAAGATAGTCAAACAGGTAGGTACAATACAATACAATACAATACTTTATTGAAAACTCCCCATGGGAGTTTTTCAGTGACAATTTACAATTATAATAGTTAACAAACAAGCAATTCAGGCTAGCTAAAACAATGATGGAGTAGATAATCGTTAAAAAAGTATTTCATAAGAGATGCTTTTTTAAATAAAAGCGTAAGATTATTTATAGATTGGCTGAGCTTTATTTCAGGTGTTAAATTATTTCATATGCTTTATTACCAAATTGAATTCTATAAGAATTAAGTATTATGTTAATCACGAGTACATCTGGTACAATATTATATGCTTGTACCTGTACAGGTATTGGTAAAGTTCCAAACGTACTGACCTCTTGCCAATATGCTGCTCCTTGGGAACTAAAACTTTTGTCATATATATTGAGTTGATTTGTGACATCACTTTTAATATAAAAACTTTGTAGAATATCCATGGTCTTATAATTTGGTAATTAACAAGCACCAGGAAAGAAAAAAGTTTCACATTTTAATGCAGCTTTTCGACTAATATTTAGTCAGTTGTGTTTTCAAGAATTTTTCGAACTTCCAAAACTTTTTTTAAGAAACATGCAATTTGCAACTTTTTTTCTTGCAGGCGAAGTCATTCGTTTGTCAGATGTCAAAGACTTCTCTCTTAATTTGTGGCTAATATTCATCATATGTGTTGCCTACTATGTGGCTATTTTCCCATTCATAGCACTTGGCCTGTAAGTCACTTTTTTCATCTGTAATAAATAAATGCTTCTTCAAAACATACCAACTGTAAACATAACTTTATGGAGAAATAAATGTCTCACCAAGAAAACACATGGTCCATACTGAAATTGTGCACCTTAACTTTAGAATTTGTCTTTTCTGTACTGTTTTCCATACATTTACCTTGGTACTAATGGGGAGAATTTTTTGAACAATCCAGAGCTTCTTTTACAGGTGGTCACTTCCGTGATTCTCATGACCTTGATGTTAGATTCAGTCAGCAATTTATATATCTTATTAACCAAGCGCGAGGGCTGTACTGGGAGAATATTGGCCCGAGGTCTTGACAGTACGGACGGAGCGCAGCGAGGTCCATACAAAAAAGACCAAGGGCCGATATTCTTCCAGTACGGTCCCGAGCAAGCTTGGTTAATAAGAGATTTATTATACGACTGAAGTTCAAAGGGACACAAGTGCGGTATCATTCGGGACCATTCGGGACAGTGCCCGGTCCAATACTGAGAGAATATTGACCGGCAATAGAGCATTCTGATTGGTTGATTCTAGTTCATGTTGGCCCTCTGACTGCCTGAGTCGTGTAATAAAAGGAAATACGACCACATTTCCCCCATCCTTAAAGAGTTAAAGTAAAGTAGCTACCTGTAACACAGCAGTTGTATTCGCCATGCAATAATGACCTTTAAATGCATGACTGGGTGCGCACCAGACTCTTTACTTTCTAAATAATTATATCCAAAGAGCTACCATCACTAAGCATACAACAAGGAACTCCCAGATGTTAAATATTCCATTGTATAAAACGGTCACAGGACAAAGAAGTTTCTTCTTCAGGACTGTCAAACTCTGGAATTCATTAGATTCTACTCTTAAGTTGAAACTGACACTAAAGGACTTCAAACATTGCCTAAAGAGAAGCCTCATCTCAAACTTTTTAGACGCTTGCTTTTGTTTTTAGTTATTTAATTTATTTTTTAATTAATTAATTTGATTATGTTATCCAAGATATATTAGTTAACTAACTCATTAACTTAATAATATATAGTTTTAATTATTTCTTTATTCTGAAAAGCCCTTTTGGGATGAATAAAGTATGTATGTATGTATGTATGTAGACGTAAGGAGAAATTAGACACTAGTCACTCTTTGGGCTGATAAAAGGGTTAAGAGTCCTACATTATTCATGTGCAAATATGGGCATAATTACTATTGAAGAACTGCTTTGTAACTCATAATTATAGAAGACTTATAATTGTCTATTGTTTTTATATTCTCAGTGCATTTTTTCAAGCAAAGTTTGATTTAAGACCTGCACAGGCAGCAGCAGTTAACAGGTACACAAAAATGAGCTTCTCTTTCAGCACCTCAATGCAATGACCCTTATGTACACACCGTGTGCAGGTGCTGAATCACATTTTAACCCTAATACACCATTGTCATCACATTAATCAAATGTTTACTCGTTGACAAATGGGTTTTACTCGTGCTCTAAAATGTTAGTGACAATTTCCAACACAATTATAGTCATTGTTATTTTATATATCTTTAGTTATTCATTCAACTTTTTTCTTTTACTTCTTGCTTGCAGTGTGGTGTTTATTATTTCAGCCTGTGCCTCTCCATTCTTAGGTTTTATGGTGGATAAAGTTGGAAAGAATATCTTCTGGGGTGAGTTTGTTGCACATTAAACGAACATGACAAGTTGTTGCCATGTTTTGGTAGTGAACCATAATTCACCAGATTGAAGGTAAATGTTGAAAGTAATCTGGGACTGTTTTTCTTCTTTTTTGCTTTTTTTCACTCTCTGATCGGTCCAGAAAACTCGCACCAATCTCCAAAAAACTCACACCAATCACAACTTGGTCATAGCATTCTCCTACGCTTTAGACGGACAGTTTGGTTGTGTTTACCTTGAGTTCTCATTACCGGCTCAAGTAAAAATCAGTAAATTTCGTAGTGCATACCACACAGGTTGAAGAACACGCTGACCAGAGAATTATTTATTTTTTTCAAATGCTCGAACTTGTTTAAAAAATTGTAGGCCAAGAAAAAAAATTAATAACCTTAACACTTGCAACTCATTTTTGTTTGGTCCTACTTAAAACTGAAAATAAAGATATAGTATAGTAAAAATAATAGGAATCATATACCTCAGACTTAAATCTTCTTTCTCTATTCTTATGTCATAGTAATTTTATCAGTGGCTGTAACCCTTGGATGCCATTGTATGATGGCTTTCACTTTTTGGAACCCATTCGTCGCTATGGTAAGTAATTCTATTTCTCTCATTAGATCTGAGTAGTAACTCTCCTCACTGTCTGCCGAGAGGATCCTTTCTTGTCACGACTTAGTCACTGCGTTTTCCCGCGCTTTTGGTAGTTTGCTTATTTTGCGCGTTTTCCCGCGCTTTAGGCAGTTTGCTTGTTTTAACTCTGAGTTATCATTGGCTCTCGAAGGTTTCTTCTGATTGGCTGTAATGATTATTTTGGTTTAGGTCTTACGACACTTAATCGAAAAGTGCTCTAAATTGCTTAAAAGTCGCTTTTAATGGCAGTCTGTATTTTGTGTATTTTGCAGAGTATCCTGGGTGTGTCTTACTCCATGTTAGCCTGTGCTCTGTGGCCACTCGTTGCTTTAGTTGTCCCTGAACATCAGCTGGGTACTGCGTATGGATTGTAAGTATGGCAAATGTTTGCTATTTTTTACGGAGCCGAAATGGCGGCCACAATCATCCTGTTAGGTTATGAAGGGTTTCCTTTTACTTTACGTTTGTGGTTGTTTTCCAACCCAGTAGAAAAACAGAAATTCATTTAGTTTGCCTCTTTTTGCTCGTTGATTTCTCGAACCCCGTAAAACCCTCATCATCAGCTAACGAGCGTCGAGAATCGAAACAAAAAAAGCGTCGGTCATCATTACCCGTGTCTTGTACTCGCAATGCGTAGAGTACAACTCGAGATTTATTTTCTAGAATCAATTATTTTGACTTGTACCGATCTCTTTACTCGTGAGGGTCGACTCTCCCACCTCGATTCTCGACGTGACTCCATTTGCAGTGAATTAGTCCCGATACTTGTCAGTATCGAATATTTACCGAGACTGAATCCTCGAGTCGATGAGTGTTAAGTGCGGAGCTCGATCTTTGACTGAATTCTCCTTTATTCAGCATCGATATATTAAAAGAGATTTAACACCGCGTTTATGTAAAACGTGAACGACAGGAGTGACCACGTGACCCTGTTTTTCCCGCCGTTTTTTCACTTTTGTCGGTCACGTTTCTACGTGAAAGTGACCTGATTCTTGTTTCCCCTGAATGTAAGACTTTCTTCACTTTTCGCTCACACAGAGTAGAAGTTAATTGCCGGAGAAAAGGGCACCGAAACAATTCCTTGTAAGTCATTTAGGGGCGCCTTCAAATCCACCGTGACGTGAGCTCACGCGAAGCTAAAAATGCAGCAAGGTTCACGTTATTTTACGTGAAACGTGAAAGGGCAAGCGGACATTTGCCGTTTCACTTAAACGCGGTGCTAAATCTCTCTATTGACTGTCAAGTTTTGACTCTGGATACTCCACTAAAGGACTGTCAGCTTACTTACAGTCGGTGGTGTGGATACCTCGCGCATAATCTTTTTTGAAACTGTTCTTTTTAGCATGCAGTCTATACAGAATCTAGGACTTGCAGTTATCTCACAAGTAGCTGGAACAATTGTGGACCAAAAAGGATATTTAATATTGGAAGTGTTCTTCTGCGCCTGGTTGTGCAGTAAGTATTCGCCCTTACAATGCCTGTAATTTTCATCATCTTTTACTCACTATTTATTCAAACCCTGTTTTGCGCGATCACTAAGCATACCAAGAGCTGCATATCGCTCAAACCAGCGGCGTCTTTTAGAATTTTTTTTAGAATTTTAATTTTGGCGCGATTTTATTGGTTACTTTACGTCACGTGGTGCAAAATCACAGGACAGTTATCACGCAATAACCCCCGTCCGCGTCGATATTTGTCCCCCGATTTTTTCCGTGAAAAAGAAACTTAGTCAACACAAGAGTTTCAACTTTTCCGTTCTCCTATTTACATGGAAGGAAACCAAACTCTTTTTTTTTTCGCTTGCTTGCGTCAATCACGCGCATTCGCCATCATATCACCACTGGCTTTTTTACTGTGTTTACGCGCAGTTTAATTGCGATGTGAAAATTAATGGGAGGGTTATAAATAATGGTAATTGAACTGAGTGGAGTGCAATTTGGGCTGAAATCATACATGTGATTTCAAAAACGAACGAGCGCGCAGCGCGAGTACGATTTGAAATCACAAGTATGATTTCAGACCACAATTGCACGACACGAGGTACCATTGTCACTCTATTACACCCATTTTGAAATCGCCCAAATACAGGACTTGGTCAATTCAAATATTTTGTCGATGTTTTACTGAGCCGGTTTTTAAATAGAAAGCGGAACCGGAAACGCTTTTACATCTTATTTTGTATGCAAAACAGAAAGACTGACGTCATGTGTCAAAAACTCAGTCAAGCGTAAAATGATGCGATTTAGAGCAATTTATTCAAGAATCGCACCAGTTAGAGCCAATCAGATTAGAGGGACCACCAATGATTTCAAAATAGATGTAATAAAATAAATAAACCCCGTTCTGGCTTGCTGGTATGTCGGCTGATAATGTCCTTGGCTGAGAGATTGTCCTTAAAATTTCATATTTGCCCTCGAAGCTTCGCTTCTCGGCCAAATATTCATTTTTCGGACAATCTCTCAGCCGCGGACATTATCAGCCGA